TTTTGTATAAAATTCCCTGTTTTCCCGCCATGACAGTATACAAGAACTGCCAGGCGCTCCCCAGCACGCACCCTTCCCAACAGCCCCTTCGCGCGTCGGATGCCTACCTGAATACTTCATGTAAGCGCCTGGGTACGAGGCAGTAAATCCATAGTATATCCATCATATTTTGATACTATATCCATACTATGGAAATATACAATTATTATGGATAACCAAAATCCATTCTATTTCCAATAAAGGTCCATACAATTTCCATTCTATGACCTTCTATGGAAAATTTTTTCCAGTGATTGGGACACAACACATGTGGGATCTCACATTTGAAATCAACGTGTGGATTTGTGATACGACATACATGTTGAATCAACGTGTGAAATAAGCTTTCGTATATGTAAAACAGAAACCATATGTGAAATTTTGGGCAGGGCCATTTTGTTTTTGCGAAAAAAGTGGTTTATATAATTTACGAATTCTTTACATTAGATTCATTCGAACCCAGTGCAATAGTAGCCTACTACTTTTGGGTGTCTGGGACTGCGCGCAGGCTAGTGCAATAGCAAACTCGCCAAAATGTAATTATGACGTGGCACACTGTTCAGGAAAGTATGGCACATTGACCAAAGAGCCTCGCTTTCGTGATTGAGACATAAGGCTTTAACTTATCTCATCTGTGATTTCATATACACGTAAACGAGGCCAGGCTCCATATCCAAAATGACGTACTTTCCGAAAGGGTGTATTACATTGAGAAGCATTTTTTTCTGCATTGTGGACCATTTTGATCCTAACTTTAATCTTTACTTCAATCCTATTTGTCCTAACTTTACTTTTACTCCAACTAAAACTTCCATCCCCCTACCGAAATGTCACTTACAAAAAAGTATTATTTTGTTTCAGAACTCTGAATTACGGATGCTTCTTCATCAGTATATTAATTCAAAGGTAATGTTTTTTACAACTTTGGCAAACCTGCAGTCCCTTGCGGAACTCTGACCGATATTTGAACATCTCTGATCGCTATTTAGACATCACTGGGAACGTCATTTTGTTTCTTGTGATGTTACTCTGAGTGTGTATCCATCCCGGGCAGTCTTGACAAATATGCCCGGCCACGGTGGGAATCGAACCTACGACCTTTGGAATACTAGCCCAATGCTCTGCCAACAGACCTTTCCCCTTTTAAATGAGATTTTGATCTAGACAAGTCTGTACAAAAATTTCACTACAGCTTGAAAGAGCATCGCAAAATTAGTATTATTCCGAAGTTTCTTTGCAAAATGTTGTAAAATGCGGATAATATAGCCTTGCGAAGTTTGCCGTTTTTCAGTCATTTTGATTACAAATGGGAAATTGATAATCAGATGATCAAACTGATTATCAATTTCCAGTTTGTAATGCAAAATGACTGAAAAACGGCAAACTTCGCCATGCTATATTGGCCGCATTTTACAACATTTCGCAACGAAACTTCGGAATATTACTAATTTTGTGATACTCTTTCAAGCTTGTCCAGGCTAGTCTAGATCAAAATTTTACTTAAAAGGGGAAAGGTCTACTGAGCTACACGGTCAGGTCGGTTCGAGATGCGATATTTCGGAACTGAGTCTAGTTCCTTCGATATCAGTGTGATCTAATAATCATGATATTTGTCGTGTAGTGTACTACACCAACACGACAAATATCATGATTATTAGATTACACTGATATCGAAGGAACTAGACTCAGTTCCGAAATATCGCATCTCGAACCGACCTGACCGCGTAGCTCAGTTGGCAGAGCATTGGGCTAGTATTCCAAAGGTCGTAGGGTCGATTCCCACCGTAGCCAGGCATATTTTTCAAGCCTGCCCGGTGTGGATATACACTCAGAGTAACATCACAAGCATCTTATTCACCTGAGTACACTACACCAACACGACATCGATGCCTGTGTGTTTACTCTGCCTGCAAACATTCGGTCATGTTCTCACATTGTTTTACTCGTCAGGGCAATTTGAATCGTCAGAGCAATTTTAGTGGATAATGCAAAGCAAAGACTGACACCTTTACTGACATTATTTTGCGGAATCAAAAATTAGTTAAATTATAAGCTATAGTCTTATACAGTATATTACGATGTGAAGATCTGGTCCTTTGTTTCATGTTGACGGGGGTATCTTAACCTCTATTTGTATTTTTGCACTTTTTGTTAATTGTATATATATAATTTATATGTTTTATTTGAAGGTTAACCAAGAGCTTGAAATACCTCCAACAAGGCTGATGAAATTTGATGTTTCTAAAGATTAACAATGTATATACGTATAAATATGTATCATAGATATCTCAGGGTGAATAATCAAACAATTTGGCTGAGGCAGCTTGACTGTTCCAGATACTTTATTTGCACAACATGCACATGGCAATGAACCCACCATTTATTCAAAAATCCTCAAAACCTCAACAAAATAAAGCGAATTGCTACGCAGGCTAGGCATTGAAGGTATACCAAATGGTTTTCGTGCAGGATAGCGTCATCTATACACGCAGGTTGTTGCGAGACTTTCGTTAAAAAACACGAGCCGCAAGGGAGTATTTCTTTACGCTTTTCAAAAGGGTAGCCTCGCTGTAGTTCGGAAGAGTGATTTTCATTGGCTCGATTTGACAATTGCTTTTGTGTTTACAACAATGAATTGCTTCGTTCTTTAGAAAACCCCCATCCAATTGGAGACGACCTTCCGAGCCACTGCGAGGCTTCCCTCCAAAAGTCGAGCAATATCCCGCGCGTATTACGTGTAAGATATTACATGGCGCGAAGATATGACTTTTGTCTTCGAGTGGTGAAAACAACATTTTACCGAAACGAGCGCAGCGACTGAGTAATATTGTTTCCAACACGAGAAGATAAAAGTCATATCTTCAAGCCACCGTGTAATGTTCTATTATATAGTCCCAAGCAAAACATTGTATAAATAGTAAAAGTCATGTGATTGATATCTTCACTAGTGAAGATATGGAAAATATCTCGCTGTGTAGTTTTTAGTATCTCAATCTCTACTATATAATAAATGACGCTATCCTGCACGAGAAACCATTCGGTAATTGTTTTATGAAAATAACTACAGTTAAACAACCTAATGTATTAACTCCCAGACTTAACTTGAACGATCAAATTGCGTGTTTCACTGTACTTATTGTATATCCGTTTATATATGTGTCGACGCACAAAATCTGCCCACCTGCGTTCGTTCGCTCTGCACTCAATAGACTGAACATAAAGAACACGCATACAGTATAGTAAGATGAAATGGCTTTCGTTTCCCAAGTATAGGTAAGGGGCCGACCATTTAACTTTTGAGGGGGGGGGGGGTGATTTTGAAAAAAAAATTCCTGCAATGCTATTCTGAACAAAAAAAATACCTGCACTAACAAACTGGGGAAAAAATATCCTGCCCCAGTGTTTCGTGGGGAAAAAAATGCTGCAAAACAGCATGGTTGCAGGGATGGCCAGGAATCGATTTGATCAGTCCGAGAAGATCAGCTGGTTTGATTTTCAGGGACTAGTGTAAGGTTAATTTCTTGTTGGAAAGCTCCTCAAAATGCTGGAAATAGCTTATCTGAGCTTCAAACAATCCAAAATTTTCGGGGGGGGGGTGTGCATGCCCCCAGACCCAGGGGCGGCGGAACAGGGGGGGCTAGGGGGGGCTAAAGCCCCCCCAGAAGTAAAAGTGGGGGGGCTTAGCCCCCCCAGAAAATTTGAATTTTTCGAAAAATTTTTGAAAATAAGGGGAAAATTTAGGTTATTTTTTGAAAATTTAGGTATAACGGGACAAATTTGCAATATTTTGTTTAAAAAAAGCGTATTTCCGAAAAAAATTTTTGATATAAGTCCGGAAAAATTTTTTTCGCCCCTTTTTTTGTATATTATACCCCTAAAGTGGTACACTGACCGAAATTTTTTTGGCGACGGGGGGGCGGGGGGGAGGTCGCCGAAAAAATTTAGCCCCCCCAGAACGAAATCTGTTCCACCGCCCCTGGCCCAGACCCCTCTAGAGGCTCGCACCTTCGGTCAGTTCGGTGGTCGACTCAGTTATCTCAGAGTCCTAGTTAAGCATGGCCTGAGCTGCTGCCCTATGACGTAAACTTATTAGTTAAACCATGCATATATATGCTGTAGGTAGCTGCAGTGATACAGACAGGGTTGTAGCGAGGGGGTATTGGGGGGGGGGTTAACCCACCCCCCCAACTTTTTTAGAATCAAGATATTCAGAAAATCGGGTTGGCCATTCGGAAAATTACGGCAATAATAGTAGAACACAATTTTTGTTGTTAAACAGAGAAAATATTATAAAATTGTATTGTCACTATAAATTGTAAGCAAATTGTAAATTTCGACATACTAAAACTCTTTTTTCTGACCATCAGCATTCTGTCAAAACTTCCCCAAAGTCCAGGAAATGGCATTTCAGAGACTCGAAATTTAAAAATGTCCTCGGGCCTCCGGCCCTCGTTTTGTGCCCCCAATAAACAAAAGCTCTCTACCGCACCTCTCTCCTCCGCAGAGCCTCCTTAAGTATTTACTAGAAAATACATGCATGCAGAAACCCTCGCCTTGCTGACAAAACCATTGTATTTTCCGAACATGAAGTTCTAAAGTAGTAGTCATGGTAACACGATAATTTTTTAAGAATATTCTTACAAATGAAAAATCGCCTAAAAATATCACTTTTAATTACAAAATTATTAATTTCCCAACATAAATATATGTTAGGTATGTTTTTATACGTAATATAAGCCTCAATTTAAGGTAAAATTCAACCACAAACGCTTCGCAAAACGTTTTAAAGTCACTAGTGTTCATTATAAAACTAAACTGCCTTTTAAAATGGCTTTATCGATAAACTTTGAGTTAGCAATAAAATGATTTCAAATTCTGGCTTGCAAATAACTCAGTGCTTTCTTTTTTATTTAGAAATTCAATATCATAAAAAAGGGAATCAATATTAAAGATACACTAAAATTATATGCTGTTTGTTTAGTTGTTTCATATACGCAAAGGCCGTCGGGTTTTAAAGCCATTATAAAATCAATATTTAAAACAAACTTACCTTCGTTAACGTCCGCTCCCTTCTTTTAGACGATTCTTTCGCAGTTTCATTTTGAGAGAGCTTTTGAAATTTACAAAATCTTGCAAAAATGCGAGTAAAAATGAAATATATTTGCAAGAAATTTATCAATCATCAAATCAAGAAATGTTTGCTATTTCGCTGTCGTGATACATTCGTGCCAGTCGTTATAATGCAAAATTTAAATTGGACCAATCAGTGTCCGCTATTCATGACAGTCCGCCATATTTTTGAGATCAGTGAGGATGACCACCACTGAGCTATACTTATATATCTGGAGATCGTGCTCTCGACGAAAGCATAGATTAAGCACAGAATAGGAAGTTATACCAGAAGCGTAACTCTAGTCGTTTCCCTTATTGTTTGACGTCCATGAAAATTTTTAACTCGCTCACGTCAGGCCACGCCATCCTGGCTAGTACAGCCGGAAGTTTTTATCAGGTTTTGGTAGGTACAAAGTGCCGGTTGTACTAGCCAGGATGGCGTGAATGATGACGAATCGCTTGTAAAAACGCGGACAAATATTTGCTCGAGTTACGCTTCTGGTATAACTTCCTATTCTGTGGATTAAGTAAGAACAGATGTGTAACTTCAGTAAAAAGTTGTCCCACGGTCGCCATCTTCCTAGCAAGTGTCGCTCGCGTGAAAATTCGTCATTTGGTAGTACGTCATTGCCTTCAAAAATGTTTTCAACACCTTTTCTACAACTTTAATTGCTTTTAACAACTTTAAACATTCAACAAATTATGCTCTTGATTGTTTAATCCATAAATTTCGATCCAAGAAAGCCGCAATAAAATGCAAAAGTTCATGTTTTCCAGGACGCCATCTTCCCGAGCAAGTGTCATGGCGTGAGCATGACGTGTACATCTAGGGAAATTTGAGGACACGAATTCCTATTAAGTTACACATCTGGTATATACTTCATCTGTGACGGAAAGTGTGTGGCCAAAAACATGGCGGATTTGACGTCACAATCGACCTATTTTCATGGGGGTTTCCACTGACCCGTGGCTCGAATGTTCGTGGGCGACAAAGTTCAACCCCCCTGGATTTTACAGTGATTTTGTATGTTTATATTACGAAAGTCACCGAACTGTGGAATCGCATCAAAAATTCGTATATCGACCACTCCCACAAACGTCTACAACCACGCCTACATTCGACTACATAGTTTTGCATGTTTACAATTCTAATTTTGAACAGCCAATCAGGTTCTTGGTAATTGGCTGTTTAAAATTAGAATTGTAAACGTGCAAAACTATGTAGGCGTGGTCGTAGACGTTTGTGGGAGTGGTCGATATACGAATTTTTGATGCGATTCCACAGTTCGGTGACTTTCGTAATATTAGTTGATCGACAGAGAGTATATTTTTGATTTTCGTCCTTTTGAAAATACAGTATTATTCTAACTGCGCGTATAAATCAATAAAGACCGAAAGCCATTAATAAAAAAAGACATGAATGGAGCTTGACGGCCACAAGAACAAAGCATGTAAGTCATTGAAATGATTTATCAATTCTTGTTGTATTGTGAATTTGTGTTGCAACCATTGGTTGCAACTGAACTGACTATCAAGATTATTCTTTAAAACACGAGTATTATAACAATCCCCAGCAAGTAAAATTAAGCAAATATAGCTTGTTGAAAACTGTACTGCTATAAATTTCCCTGAGTGACAAAGGTTTTTTTAGAGATTTTAATACCAGTTTATTCTATTAGTAAATTGTGGGGAAAAGCAACTCTTTGGAATATAAAGCACTTATATCACCATTAAAGTTTTTTACACCTGTATGTATTCCGCTTTCAGGTATGAATTTATCAAGAAAATATGGGATATCTGTACTAAGTACCAGATGGCAATGAAGAAAGTCAAGTGTATTTCTTTATAATGGTCTTCCTTGTAAAAGGCAATGGCACTATTTCATTGAACATTCAAGGAACAATCACCTTTTAAAACAAATATGCACATTTTTATGCTCGAGTTACAATGTTTGATTTTGATATCTGCATTTTATGCGATTCATACCTTATTTTTAAGTGTTCCTCAAATATTGATTCAATACTTTACCTCGGGCTGACCAATTCATTCCATCAAGATATTTGCTGTGTTGGTGTAATACATGTACTCAGGTGAATAAGATGCTTGTGTGATGTTACGTACTCTGAGTGGATATCCACACTGGGCAGGCTTGAAAAATATGCCTGGCCACAGTGGGATTTGAACCTACAACCTTTGGAATACTGGCCAATGCTCTGCCAACTGAGCTATACAGTCGGGGCAGTTCGAGTATGCGATATTTCGGAACTGAGTCTAGTTCCTTCGATATCAGTGTAATCTAATAACCATGATATTTGTGAATATGATGCTTGTGTGATGTTACTCTGAGTGCATATCCACACCGGGCAAGCTTGAAAAATATGCCAAGCCACATTGGGATTCAAACCGACCTGACCGCGTAGCTCAGTTGACAGAGCATTGGCATTTGGGCTAGTATTCCAAAGGTCGTAGGTTCAAATCCCACTGTGGCCAGGCAGATATACACTCAGAGTAGCATCACACAAGCATCTTATTTCATCAAGTTCCTCCAGATATTCATACACTTCCTGTGAAAGAGCCAATTCCAAGTATTTAATCATTTCTGGTCACTTCCTTTCTATTTATGATTGGTTAGTTGCACAAACAACAAAGGTGATTGGTGCATTCAAACCATTTAACAGGAAGTTTACAATTATACTAGAAGTGTATGAATATCTTGAGGAACTTAATCAAATGAATTGGTTAGCCCAAGGTAATGTATTGAATCAATATTTGAGGAACACTTCAATTGGAACGACAGTGAAGAATTATTAACTTAAAAAAAATATTTTATTCAAAAAAAGATTTTCCAAGATAATTATATAATTACATTTAGTAATAAGAATAAATAATATATTCAATTTCAAATCACAACAAAATTTATTCTTTATTTTTAAACACATACAACACCAATTTAATTAAATAAACTGCTCAACCAATTCTATGCATGTCAATCCCTACTTGATGGTCAGCACCTACAGTAATTATGCTAGCCTAATTTGTACACTAATCCAAATGGTCAAAATAAATGTAAATGTAGCAATCTTGGCTTAGCTAAACAGACCAAAATGTGTACAAATAACTTAAAGTTGTTAGCAGAAAAATT